GGGGGGTGTGTGTGTGTGTGAGATTAAAATAGCCCAATTGCTTTTACAATAAATAAACATTGAATTTGTTTAATCAAATAGTAAAGGGGTTTAACGTTAGTGGCAGGTTGTGTGTGAGAGAGAATAAATAAGACGGCCCTATATTTAAAAAAATTGTTATTCTTTTTTCCCGCATATTTCGCAACTTCCCGCAATTTCACCGCATAAAATCACATAAAAACCCCGCATGTTTAATAGCATAATCAAGGGTTTTTGCCCGTGTTTTTCTGGAGGGTCTAAATATTTGGAAACGTTTTCAGTAAAAGAAAATGGACTAGAATTAGCTCAGAAGCATATTTAAATGTGTTTGCCAATCTTTGAAAATGCGCCAAATATGTCTACAGTTGGCACTGCTGTCCTCACCTTCAAGCTGAGTGGCGATGTTACTTGTAGAGGAGAGTCCTCCAATGCCGCTGTCCCAGACTGTCGTGTTTCCACCTCGGCGAAAAGGCAGATTGTCATCCTGTCGCAAACAAGAGGAGGACATCAGCTCAAATCTATGTGCAACAACGCAGCAATGGACACTGGGGCACATGAGGCACAGAATAACATTTTGAATTCCATATATTCCTTTTACCTCTTTGAGCAGAGAGTTTCTGCGGAGTTCCTCCATCCTGATCTCTCCGGAGCTCAGGTGCCTCACATCCTGATACATGATAGGCTTCATGTCCATGGCGCCGTACAGGCGGCCCTGCAGCTTGCTGAACAGAGACGACAGGGCCCGTGGCAGGAGGCCCGCCTCTGGACCGCTGCCTGCGAGACAGAGGTTGAGACTTAAATGACCACAAAAGAGTTGAATTCTATATCAGCATCAACAATCATTTTACAGAGCTGCAAACATTAACACCACATCAAACCGTGGCTTTATAAAGATGTGTTTAAGAAATTTAAAAAAATCTTACCTTGAATTGTGTATGTTTTTCCAGAATTGGTGACACCATAAGTGTAGAGGAGTCGGTTTTCTCCTTGAAGCACGTCTTTCACCATCTTCTTCATCGAGCACTCGTAAAACTGTTGCTGTGTGGTCTCCGGCCCCATAATCTATAAAAGATGGGTGATAGGGAAAACGTCAGTATGTGTCCTTTTCTAAATATTTGTTTTTGTTCGAGATCCTTCTTTTGCTGGCATTGCTTGCTAATGATGTACACTCATTAGCCCAAGCCAATCACCAATCATTTATAAACAGGTGATAAACAACCTGTTTATTTGACACTGTGCACATGTATAACCCCCCCTCCTACCTGTGAGAAGCTGAACTTGTGCATGCTCTGGGTGATGCCCCTCTCTGCAGCCCTCATGTTGTGAGATTCTTTTGGAGCTTTAAGAAGCACAATCTCTTCATCTTGGACAGCCACACAACCCTAAAAGAAGAGCAAACCATTAGCACAGGAGAAGTAAAGTCAAAATAAATGTGGATTATCTACCAACACAATCATACCTGTTCTTATAAAAAACATCTTAAATGTTTTATTGAAGAGGTAGGAGAACTAAAATCATTAAGGAAAGACAAGTCAATTGTTTATAGCCTTTATTTAACCAGGTGAAATTAAAAATATATGTGATACAAAACATTTATGGATGGCTTTGAAAATGTTTATTTACAAATTGGTGGAAAATGCTGTAGGTTAAATTCATTCGTTTACATTGCAACACTAAAATATTAAACTCCTAGCAACTCTCACCTGTTCTATAATGGATGGCCGGGGGTCCAGGCCGGGGGAAATGAGCGAGATCTCAGGCAGACCAGGTCTGGACGGTCCTCCATGCTCTGCTGCTGTAGACTCAAACACAGCCATTTCCTCGTCTTCATCAGAGCGGAATCCACACGGGGAGGACAAAGAGAACGCCATGCTTACCCTGTTACAAGAAGACAAATCTTAGTGAGTATGTGGTTATTGCAAATCTAAAGTAATCACACAATCAAACCTGGCTGTGTACCAGAATCTCAAGTAAAAGCCACTTTTTAGTGACCCGTTGCATATATTATGGGGATATATCAGGATACAATATAAAGAGTTAAGCAACAACCTGATTTTAGAGCTCAATACCACCTGTCCTAACTATTCTGACACAAAAAAACGAACCTACACTTAGTCCATCACAGAAGACAAAGCAGAAACTCGCTGTTATGAGAGAATGGGTGTGTCAGTCGAGGTGATTAAAACACATAGAAACTGTTTCAAGCCTACTTTGCCCTTCAAAACCAAATAGTCCGACTTAGACTAGTCAGACAGGAAAATGATCTCATGCTATCACCTGTCCAGACAAGTACTGGTGCAGAACAGAGACTGTATTTCTGCAAAAAAATGACATAATTAAAACATGTTTTAACGGTTTTGACTTCACTGGGTTTCTCTGCATTTTAACTAGGACTTATTATGCCAAAAGCACATCACATTTTAAAATAACACAAGACGTTATGTTTAAAATAATGGCATTAATAGTTTTTACAAATGATGTAAGACATGGCAACTTTTAAGCATACAAATACATATTCCAACTATGAGTAACGCTTTCCCCCCAGGAAAGAGTATGCTAAATATAGATTACTTCATTATTAGGACAGTTGGTTTAAGTAAGGATATTTCACGGGTTAGGATTACTTTATAAAGACAGTTAAAGCAGACTTGTAATCAAAAGTATAAGTGTGTGAGTAGTACATTATTTACTTAACGTCAGTTAACGTTTAAGCGTGCACGAGAAGCTGTGACCCTGTTGGGACATTTTGAAATCATGTGGTCACTCCCACCAAACTGACACAATAATGCAAATGTTGCTCTGGTCTTGCTGGTCTTAACTAACTGTTATCTGGTTAAACACGTGTATATTAGCTCGGTTAACGTTTATTATCACAGCTGTATCGTGTAAACTAACAGATGTGTTGTTGTTAGCACCACGGGATTCGTTTCACTTACTTTGAATGTCGAAAGTGCGATGAGCGCCTGGATCCCTGTAACGTTAGCGAGATGTTCTCAAGTAACTCAAGTACTAGAAAAACAGCGGAGATACTGTATTTAATATGTATTAAACTTCCCTGAAACTATCCTATTGCTTCTTCCCTACCTCGGAGCACTGGCGTCTGAAGCTCAGCTGAGTTATAATAACCGATTGCGTTTGGTTTTTGAACAATGCGCTTCCCCCGCAGAACGTGTTACCGATTGGCCAAAACTAGTGACGTAAAACTCGAGATCTACCTTCTGATTGGCTAGCAAGCTAGCAAGCATTCACATGGTGGGCTTTTTAAACTGTACCTCCTCAAACAAACGACGCCTTGTATGGGTTCCTATTACAGGTAGAAAATAAATGTGGCATTTGATCAAAAACATTAAGCCATTAGCAGGCTTCTTGCAAGAGCTTTAAATCCACATGTAAAGCTTTAACCCTGTAAGGCACCCGGTTGTTATTTTACAACATCACTTTAAGCTATCCTAAAAAAGTCAGTAAATGTTAGTTTAATAACCCTGTAAAGCCCAAAAATAGAAAAATATATATTTTTTTACCTTTCAGATGTTGTTGTAGGGAGCCTCTGGAGCAGAAATGAAAGAGTTTTCACATTTTGTACGTTTTGGTAAGTTTTTAGCGAAATGTTGTAATATTGCAACGTTGGGCTTAGGTGGGAGCAGAATTCCAGTATTTCTACTCACATGTCTGAATAAATATATTGAACAACTAAGGGTTGATTTGCAGGACTGGTTGCTTACTTAGCCCTACATCAGTATATAGCATGAATAATAATCTCACATCAGTCATATTTTCTATGAATAGTCATTTATTGAATATGGTAGTCCCAAAAACAGTTCCTATCGTCAGAAAAGCAGAGACGGGCGTCACACTTGGTGCATTGGGTGTTTGTGTAGGGGAGAGTGGGGTAAATTGAGCCATTTTTTAGCTATGCTGTCCTCTAAGCCAGGGGTTCCCAAAGTGGGGGTCACGAGATGATTACAAAATAAAAATGGAAAATTAAAAATTAAAAAAATTATTTAAAAAATTGATTAATTTTTTTTATAATTAAATCTTTTGGAACCCCTGCTCTAAGCAAGGAGAAATGATACATAGTAAAAATTAAAACACAAAACTATAATTCAGGATGTCTCCTATCAATGGCAATTATAAGAATTAAAATTTGATCAAGGGCAGGGAAAATATTACTTCTAA